CTGCTGTTGCATGCTGGGAAATAATCCATATCCTCAGTCTGTTATCCTGCCCACCAGAGGCCAATCGAAACTTGACTGTCTCGCCATCTGAAAACGTCCATCCACACACACACACACACACACACACACACACAGACACATACACACACACACACAGACACATACACACACACACACAGACACATACACACACACACACAGACACATACACACACACACACAGACACATACACACACACACACAGACACATACACACACACACACAGACACATACACACACACACACAGACACATACACACACACACACAGACACATACACACACACACACAGACACACACACACACGCAAGCACACCCACAGAGACACATACAGACACATACAGACACACACACACACACACATCCACCAGAGCATGACTAGTCAAGATAATAATGACGTTTGACATCCCTGTAAAGATAATTACAGTATATTCACTCCTGTAATTTAACCTCACAACAAATGTGAATATAATTACACTTAAAAACAACTATAATCATTTCCTGCCATAAACTGATCCTGAACAGGACATGAACAGAAAGACTGTTTTGGGCTGAGTCAAAAGCATTTCCAATCTCATTAAATTCAGTTTTGTTTATCCAACAAGTTTGCAGCTTATTTTGTCCTCTTAAAGAGCATACAGACTCGATTTTAAGCTCTGAATGCAAACACGGGAGAGCAAAAAACACAGGCACAAGCCAAGAAGTTTCTAATTTTTGCTCAAATTGAAACTGAATTCTGTTGAAATTGCAGTGTATGTTAATATTTTGAGTTTATCAATATTTGTTAGTTCTAAATCTGATGTATTATATATATATAAACAACAACAAAAGGTTTAGAAGACTCTTACTGAAAAGTGACCAACCACAATTCATTCATTAGTTTCCATGTTGTTTAGGGGCGGGTTCATCTGAAATACACTGAAAAAAATATTTAGGCCTGAATTTAAGATTTATATATTTAAATTGCATATAAAATTTCCTATTTTACACACAAACTAATAAACTTATTGTGATGCATATTTCTCAGCCATACATTCTGTAAATGAAACAAAAAAAAAATCGAACAAAATCATGGCATAATTAATTATTAAATATTTACATATATTTGATTTTATTTAAATAATATTTTTCAAAATGCATTTATTCAAATTGCTAAAAAAAAAATGAAACATATTCAATTAAAAAGTATGAAGATGGTTAACATATGATGAATTGTGGAACAAGCCATAAAATGATGTTTTATTGATGATAAATATATAAACCTGGTTATTGTGTATTTAAAACACATTCAGTTTATTAGTACTATATATATATTTTTTTTTTTTTTTTCTTTTTTTTTTTTCTTGGTCATAGAAAAACGTGAGACTTTCTAAGACTTTCCCACATTGCAGCAGGTAAATCCCATCCGTCCCCAGCAGAGCGAGTAATAATAATCATCTACAGCAGAAGAGAGATAATATTGACTGTGTTACCAATGCTCATCTGAGGGCAGAAGTGGCAGCAGTTGACTCCCAGATCCCGAGCTTCTCTTTGCGTGTGTAAAGGCCTCATGCTCAGCGTCCACAGATGAAGCGCTCCCTGACTGGAGCCTGTGATGAACATCTGTCCACACAGGGAGAAACAGCAGGCCAGTATAGGCCAGGACGCTTGAGCACATCTACAGGTGAGACGCTTCAGGTTACACACATCAAACAGAACGACTCAAGCAAACAATCCCTAATCAAACATTTGATGGACCGCTCTATGTTTTGCATTCATGAAAAAAATAATTATAGCTCCTAAGAATTGTAGAGAGTCTAGGTGTTAAATAAAATAAAAGACATAATTTCCCTTTTTTTAGTTTAACTTCAAATAAAGTAAATAAATTAAATAAAAGACCATTTCTCTTTTTTTAGTTTAACTTCAAATAACAAACGGAAATAAAAATGAAAATATATAGAAATATATATTAAAAAAATTAAAATCACAAAAGCTAGCAAACAAAAAACACTCAAACTTTAACTTAGATTAAAATCAAAAGGAGAATATAATAATAACTAATTCAAAATATTATATTAAAAACAAATAGTATATCAGTGATACTGAAATAACACTAATTATCATTATGCTTTACATAATTTTTTTTAACAAGAATGATTCTTTAAAGCATATTATTTTTATTGATTTATTTATATAAAATAAATTATAGGGGACAGAAAAGTCCCTCTAATTGACACATGACCCATGAATTAAAATATATTGCTTAATATTTTCGAGTTAGCCTGTTACATGATCAATTTTTATAAAAATGGTTTTAAAACCTTTTAAAAACTGGTTAAATTTTTTATTAGCTAATGTAGCGTTCTCTTAATGTTAATATAATATTATGTCAGTGTATTTCCCAAATGCTACTTCAACATCAACGCTACTTTAACGTTGTTACATTACGTATGTTTGTATTGTTATTATATATAATAAATATATAATATATAATTAAAATAAAATATCGATTTAAAAATTATTTTAAATAATTCTAATCCTTTCAGTTTGAGTGCATGTTGTACTTTTTTCACGTCCCCATCATTGTCTTGACATATTTGATAAAATGTGTCTGTTGACAATATTAAAGCATAATATATTTTTAGATATTTAATAATAAATACATATATAATATATAATTAAAATAAAAAATAAATTTAAAAATTATTTAAAATAATTCTAATCCTTTCAGTTTGAGTGCATGTTGTACTTTTTCATGTCCCCATCATTATATGTCTTAACATATTGGATAAATGTTAAACTGACAATATTAAAGTATATAATATTTTAATATACAGTATATTTTTTATAATAATACTTGTTATTATTATTACAGTATTTATGTAATATATTTAAAATAAAAAGTAAATATTAATTTAATAACATGTTTTTATTATATTTAAAATCATAATATACTTTTAAAAATGATAAATAATTTAAATCCTTTTAATTAGACTGTGGCCTCACTATTACTTTCCATCATGTTAATTAATTGATTTAAAGTATCATTATCCACGATGGAAAACTGCAGCACAAACATTCGTAAGTATTATCAATGGATTTGATTAATGAATGTGATGTTTATTCAAATGATAAAAAAATGAACATGAACTTCACACTGACCTCCTCGTGTAAACCAACTGTAAATCCCTCACTAAGCAATGACTAGCTATGATCCTGTTTGTGTGAATACCCAAATCATTATTGATATTTAGTGTTCAGAGCATATTTCCACAAGTCTGATAAACCCTTTTATATATAGATACATAAAAATGTGAATGAAATGTTTTTCAAATTTTTTCAAAAGTTCAAAAGGTTCAGCCGATCAGGAATGACTCACCTGATTCACATGAAGCCCTGAAAATACATTTAAGTAAATGAATATCTGTAAATGCACAACTTTAACACAATAACCTATATAAAACACAGATGATACACAATAAGCAGACGTACACATAAGCTCTGGTCTCTGTGAAGCTCCCTTCCAAACACTTCCTGCAGTGATGCAGTGCAAGAACGTCACATGACTGAGTCCGTTGCCTGGGATACGTGAGAATTCACTGTAGTATCCACTCATAAATGCCCCTGAAGTTATCAGAGCTTTATGCAACACCTGTACAAACAGAGTCACAAGTCAACCACTGAGAGACTCATATTGAAAAGAAGAGAAACACGCATTATTATTATTATCAATAAATATATCACTACAAGCCTGAAAATATTGTGTTTTTAATAAATGACTAGTCATAATCTACTTGACTATAATGACTGTTTGGATTTGGATAAAATAAAAAAAATAACATAAAAAATATAATAACTGAAAAATTAAACATTGTTTTTTTTTTTTTTTTTTAAAGGGGTCATACGATGCAATTTTAAAGATCATTAATTTGTGTATTTGGTGAAACAGAATATGTTGACATGCTTTAATGTTCCGTTCGTTCGTTCGTGTGTATGTATGTATATTGAGTGTGTTTGTGCGTGTGTATGTATTGAGTGTGTTTGTGCGTGTGTGTACGAGTATGTATGTTTGTGTGTGTGTGTGTGTGTATACAACATGTAAACACTGTGTTGCAAGTTTGATTAATTTTGTTTACACGCTCTCTCTCCCTTTCCTGTGTTTCAGTGACTTTGGTATCCAGTTGGTCAGAGAACAGAATATCTCTGGATTAGAGACTTTAGTCTTTGCAACTTTACAGATCTTCTTTATGCACCAAGAGCTTGTAACACTCCAAAGAGAAAGGAAAAATTTAAATCGCATCATATGACCCCTTTAATAAATGAATTGGTTTAAAATAAAACTATTATTATTTTGGTGATAAATATATCACCAAAAGGCTGAAAATAGTTTTTTTTTTTTTAAATAAATGACTAGTCATAATGTACTTGACTGCAATGACTGTTTGGATAAAATTGGATAAAATAAAATAAAAATGAATAATACTACTACTACTAATAATAATACTACTGCTACTTCTACTACTACTAACTATATTATTATCATCAATAAATATATCACTAAAAGCCTGAAAATATAGTGTTTTTAAATAAATGACTAGTCATAATCTACTTTACTTGACTACAATGACTGTTTGGATTTGGATAAAATAAAAAAAAATAATATAAAGTAATATAAAATAAACTATAAAAAAAAAAAAAAAACTGAAAATTTAAATATTGTTTTTTTAATAAATGACTTGATGGTTTAAAAAAAAACTAAATATAAAATATAAAAATGGACACAAAAATAAAAAAAACCACTGAGTGAACCAATGGAGAGACTCATATTGCTGTTGCCAGGAGTAGATTTGAGAAGAAGAGACAGACAGACAGAAATACAGCTGTACGAAGTGACGCAAAGTCATTTAAACGGGTACAAATTGTAAGATCTTCTCATGCATAAGATGCAGCATCAACAGTATAAACACAACCAGGCTGCTTGAAAACATTTTATTAAGTATTCGACACAAACTAGAGAAAAATAAAACTCCTACAAAACAGAACGCTACACCTTCATTGCAATATCTTCACACAGCAGAATTCAAGTATTCTGACTTTAGTACCATAAAAACCACTGCAGTTCATTAGAATAATTATCATGTAAACTAGATTTCTTTATTGCAACAGCACTTTTTTTTGCACGTGCAAAATTGGCCGCCACAATGCAAGAGTGTTTGCTATGTCAAAAAAGACCATTTCTGATTTCTAGACATGGTTTGGAGGGTTTTTTTCCCATCGGTTTTATTGTTGCATCGTATATGAGCAATAGCAATAATGGTGTAAAAATTCCAGCAAACACTGGATGAATGCTTGTGCATCGGAATAGATTGAGGTTTGAGAAGTTGTAAAAATTGTGGATTTATGAAAGGCACTGCTATTTTCAGAAAGTGCCATATTAAAACCCATGAAAAGATACAGCTATTAAAAAGGCATAAACGATGCTGGAGTCTTGTGTGCACAGAATACAATATTCAGAACCGATATTAAACATTAATAGTCGTTGTATATGTCACGATGGACTGTGTTTTGGAGTTTGTGATTTAAAACATACACATTTACATAAATGCAGCTTTATAATGTAACCAATAATGGATCTTCTGTTCTCTAGGAGCTCAGAATTATGTAAACACGTTATTTTTTTTTTTCATATCTGATAAAGAAAACACATTCATTGAGATTTTTAAAGCAGTTTTGCCTCTTTTTCATAGAAAGTGAAGACCTTTTTAGTTATAAATAATTAAAAACTAATTAAATACAGTACATTCACTATAATATTAACGTTTATTTAAAAAAAAAAAAACATTTACAGGTTATTTTGGAAAACGTTCATGTTCTCACAGTTGTCCTTTAACAAAGCAAAGCAGGTGTGAATCGTGGTGTAAAGCATCTGAACTGCTCTCATGTGCTGAGACCTGGTTTCTGGGAGTTCTGCCTCAACAGCTCGGTCCATCTCCTCTGGAAAAACCATCTCATCGTGTGTCCCGCTCGGCCGATGACTGAATTATCCTCGTTGAATTTCTCACAGTTATCGAACACCAGGTTCACGTCAATGATAAAAGTCTCAAGATTCAAGTACCTGCGATGAGAAAAGTCCATTGTGATTACAAAAGCAAACATAACACACACTGGACATTAAATCAAACATTCACTATAATTTTGCTGGTAAATATTGTGGTTCACCTGCTATTATATTGGTGCATATAAATTATGTTCATTTAGTGAAAAATATTGCAGAAAACCAGAGAAAAAAAAACTACAATGACTGGTTGGTTACAATGATCATTCAATTGAGAGTAAAATAAAATACAATAGTATTAACAAAAATTTATTATTATTATTATCATCAACATCAATGAATATATCATCAAAAGGCTGAAAATATAGTTTATTTTTATTTTTATAAATTACTTAATCTACTTAACTATAATGACTGGTTAAAATTGTTATTTAAATGAAATAAAAAAAATTAAAAAAATTTTTTTTTATTATTATTATTATTATTATTAGCAATAAATAGAATCACCAAAAGGCTAAAAATATTGTTTTTTAATAAATGACTTAATCTACTTGACTATAATGACTGTTTGGTAAAAATGATGATCTAAAATAAAACAAACTGAAGTAAAAAGTATAACAATGGACACACACACACACACTCAATCAATAAACTAACAAGTAAATAAAAATATTAAAAAATAAAATAGAATTAAAATCGGCAATAAATATATCACCAAAAAGCCTGAAAATATTGTGTTACTAATAAATTACTAGTCTTAATCTACTTGACTACAATGACAGTTTGGTCAAAAAAATAAATAAATACAGTAAAATAATATAAAATGTAACAAAATAAAAATATATTATCATCAAAAATATCACCAAAAAGGTTGAAGATATTGTGTTTTTTAATAAATGACTAGTCTTAATCTACTTGACTACAATGACTGTTTGGTAAATAAAATAATAATAATTATTATTATTATCACCATCAATACATATATCACCAAAATGCTTAAAATATAGTTTTAGCCTTCCAGCCCTATTAATAACTGTAAATGACTAGTTAATAATGATCAGTTAACTAAGTGATACCCACTGGCTGTTGGTGAGTTTGTCTCTTATAGTAGAGAGGTCCATGGGTTTCTTGATGATCTTGCGGTACCCCGGGACAGATTTGGGGTTGACGGGTGTCAGAAACGGTCCGGCGTCCTGATGGCTTTCCAGCTCAGCCAAGAGTATTCTGAAAAAGACCGATCAATGATCAATCTGATTCCAGGGCATCTGCAGGATTTTTAAGATCAGATTTAAGACTTAAGACCTGCACAAATAAAATGAATAGGGCAATGTCTATGGTAACATATTAATCTGTAAAAAGCATGATTTACAGTTCAGATACAGGTTTGCACAAAAACAAAATGTTTTATAAAATGATAAACTTCACATTTCAGCCTTTAAACCATTTTTAAGAAAATAGATAAGTCAAAACTATCTATTATATTAATTTAAATAACTATTATATTAATTAAATAACATATAAATATATTTTACTGTCTTAATTGTTTAGATCTTTATAATGCATTATCTTCTTGTCGATCCACTAGTTCACATTTACAACTCCGCTTGTTTGTTGTGTAAAAATATGGGTGGATTTTCACATTGATCTGAACAAAACCAGCAGATGGGCTTATTGAAAATGCAAATTCATTCTCTGCCAGCAGGTAATGGCAGTGCACAAAGCAGCAGCACCTGACTTTGAAACGTGCAACGCTCATATTTATTAAATTAAATCATATACATTTGAAGTTTAATCGTCACATTAAGTTATATTGCAATTCTTGTCTTTCCGTCCCTAAATTTAACACCTCTTGAAATCATAATTAAGACTTTCTTGTACCATTTAAGAGTTTTTATGGCCTTAAAATTGGCACAAATAAATGTAAGATTTTTTAAGGACCTGCAGAAACCCTGGATTGAATATAACTCTCATTCAGCAAGGTTTCCGGCTGTGATACCTGCACATGGCCAGGTCTTTACTGTCGTCTCTGGCTGTTTTGGGACTCTCCTGCTTTGCCGGGTTAGTGGAAGGATTCTCCTCGGTCTTCCTCTTTTTTATTTCCTTTAACACTTTTCTGGGCGTGCTGTTGGCGCTGCCCGAATCGTCCTCTGAGTCTCCGGCCACAGATGGTTTTGTGTGCCGTTTGGCCTCAGCAGGTTTCTTCAGGCCTCCGCTTGAGCGGTCCAAAGACTTCTTGGTCTTCAGGGACTGACTGCTCGCCTGCACAGAGCCAAACACTTCAGTGAAAAAACTAAATCTCTAAACACAGGCCAAGGACTCTCTTCATGAAGAACAGACTACAGCAGCTAAGCAGCATTTATGGGGCCTTTGAGCTTATATACACACAAAAGTATATTTAGGGATGCACATGTGCTTGGGAATTGGAATTGGATGGAAGGAATGGGAAGCAATAAAATATTTATGGTTTTAAACAGTTAACAATTGTTAATTGTTAAGTCAAATTCCCCAATGATTTCCCAATACTTGGTTCTAATACAAAACTAAAAAGATAACAATTACTGTAAACATTTATTAATAATAAATAATAATAATAATAATAATAATAATTAAAATCACATTATTTATTAAAACAATAAATAATAAGTGCAGTAATAAAATTTAGAATATTATTATTACCACTCAAAACGCTGACTTCAATAATAATAATAATAATAATAATTGTTATTATCATTATTATTATTATATAGAAAAAAATATGATAAATGTAGAAGTAAAATTTGAAGTAAATGAAAAAATAAAATAAAAATTTATAAAATAAATGTAGCAACTTTATATACATGTAGTAACTTTATATTATAATATTATTATATAGTAATATTTATTATTTAAAAACACAGACCTAAAAATAATAAAGTTTTAATGAAGTATACATTTTATTATTACATTATGTTTTTATATTATTATTACTATTACACTTTTGTTGATAATAATAATTTTATTTATAAAAATAACAAATAATAAATTTAGCAATCAAATTTATAATTGTATTATTATTATTATTGTTGTTGTCAGTGTTGTTAGTAGTAGTAGTAGTAGTAATAATAATAATAATAATTTTAAGTGTAGTAGTAAAAATTGTAGTAAATAAAAATGAATGTAGTAAAATAATGTTATAATATTATATTGCAATATTTATTATTATTAAAAACTCTGACCTAATAATAATAATAATAAAACTATAATAAAGTATACATTTTATTACTACATTCATGAAGTTTTTATATTATTATTATTATTGATGTTATTATATTGTTGTTGTCGTTGACGATAATAATAACATAAAAATTTAACATAAAAAATGTATCAATAACATTTTAAATTTTATTATCATTATTTTTTATCGTTGTTGTTGTCAGTGTCCTAACTAGTAGTAGTAGTATAAATAATAATAATAATAATAATTGTTCTTGCATAGATATGTAAAATGACATATCACTGTGTTGTGCCAGGTTTGACACTGAACTGCAGCTGAAGCCTTAAAATACAGCACACAAGTCACATGGACTGCTTTTATTATACTTTCATAGTGTTTTTGGTCAATATGGACTGACATTTTGTGAAAATATTCTTCTGAAATTCCATGATAAAAAAAAAACAAAACTGCATACAGGTTTGGAGCAACATAGAGATATAAAATAAATGACAGAATTTTCCTGCAAGGTCTCATCACAGGCAGTGTTACTGAACTAATAAAGTGCTCCACCTGGGATATGCAGGCCGGGCAGAACCAGTCTCCGTCTGGTATGGTGGTGATCTTGGGTTTATGGCAGTACGTGTGGCAGCCTCTATCACATCCATCACACAGCAGCAGCAGCTCCTCATTGTCCCCCTTACAGCAGATCTGACAGTACTGCGCCAGAAACACAACCGGATTACTTCAGTGTTGGGCAGTAGGGCTGTCAAAATGGCTGAAAAACTAAATTCGAATTTTCTACTTAAATATTATTAGGCTTCTCTCCTGAGGCCACAAGAGGGCGCATCACTCAAAGCATAAGATAACATGACTATCTGCGAAAAAAGTGCATAATGTTGAAAATAATGTTTATAAACCAATTATAATTAAGTTGCTTAAACAACTATAAACAAAACAGCATCATGTATGTATGCATAGTTTAATACAAAGGGCGGAAAGCCAATCACACAGAGTACATTTTTCAAAGTCTCGATATATGTTTTTTTCAAAGTTGAACTTGCATTAATTTTACATGGCTTTTTACATGTCATGCGGCTCTTTTGTGCGAGACGCGAGTGTAACGGTGATAGATGTCCGTCTAGAAAATACAGAAAATACGTGTTCTGTGTGAACGGCTTGGTTTCAGTTTTGATGTAAACAAGATCTTCTCCGCATTGATGTTCTCTTTTTCCGCAATATTTTTAATGAACAACGCAGCAGCG